AAAGTGTGTGTTTGGTTAGAAACAAAACAACAACAAAAAATAGATGGTAACCAAAATAAAGTTGCCCAAATAATGATCAGTAGTTGATATGGTTAGGCTTTGTGTCCCCACCCAAATCTCATCTAGAATTGTAATCCCCAGGTGTTGAGGGAGAGACCTGGTGGGAGGTGATTGGATCATGGGGGTGGTTCCCTCCATGCTGTTCTCATGACAGTGAGTGAGTTCTCATGAAATCTGATAGTTTTATAAGTGTTTGGTAGTTCCTCTCTTGCTCACTTCTTCTCTCTGCGGCCACCCTATGAAGAGGTGCCTTCCACCATGATTGTAAATTTCCCGAGGCCTCCCTAGCCATACAGAACTGTGAGTTAATTAAACCTCTTTTCTTTAGAAATTACCTAGTCTCAGGCCGTTCTTTATAGCAGTGTGAGAATGGACTAATACAGTAGCCATCTTTGTGAATAAAGAGGATGGGTTTTAAACAAGGAAAACTATTGTGAACATCTGAACAAATGCTTTTCTAGTATTTGAAAGTTTTCTTAAGTATGCACCACCGTCTTGAGACCTTGCTCACACTGTGAATTTGCTTAAAACTGCTCTTCACAAATGGTGTCATAGCACCTCTTACTTCCCCAATCACAGCTTCATCATGGTGGGATTTTAATCGATGTGGTTTGCTCTTTGCAGCTACAATGGCATCCTGCTGATCTACGGGCAATCTGCCTCTGTGACTCCTATGATTCAGGCTCATTTTTAAATTAACTTTTATCTGCTAAGTAATGAGCACTTCGGCTTTTTAATATCACAGAAGTTTCATCTAGGAGACTTTTCTTTTTTGATTACTAGAATTATCTCTCTCTGTTCCTTCCTCCCACGACATAATGAAACAAAACCTACCATTGTATTACACAATTCAGGATTTCATCATATCTCGCTTAACGGGAAAGACTGTTTACACAGAGATAAAGCAGCACGCCTTTACAAGATGATTCTATATGAGTAGAATGTGGTTTTATATAATAAAATAGTTTTTTTCCCCCACTTTATGTGTGGATTAGCTGTATTAACTTCTTCTGTTTAGAAGTCAGGATATTTCCTCAGACTTAAAAATTCTGTGAGTGTGTTAATATGGGATCCAGAAATAAACATGCATGTTGGATTTATGCTATATGCATGGCAATCTCTTAGGCATGTCCATTTGTACATCATGGTGGGGATAAGCCCAAGTTTGGTGACTCTGTTAAAGACATTTTGTTTTGTTTTGTTTTGTTTTGAGACGGAATCTGGCTCTGTTGCCCAGGCTGGAGTGCAGTGGTGCCAACTCGGCTCACTGCAAGCTCTGCCTCTCGGGTTCACGCCATTCTCCTGCCTTAGCCTCCTGAGTAGCTGGGACTACAGGCACCCGCCACCTAGCCCGGCTAATTTTTTTGTATTTTTTAGTGGAGATGGGGTTTCACTGTGTTAGCCAGAATGGTCTCGATCTCCTGAACTCGTGATCCGCCTGTCTCGGCCTCCCAAAGTGCTGGGATTATAGGCTTTGAAATCATTAAGACTATTAACTCAAATTTGAGATAGAAAAAATAAAAATAAAAATAAAAAAAACACTTGCCCAAAATTTCAAATTCGGTTTCGTTACTCTTTTTTTAAGTTAACATATTAAAGTGTTGCACATCTGAACATTTTCTAGTCCCTTCAAACTTAACAAATTTCTAAAAACAGAGAATTCTCCCAGTTATCCTTCAAAATTTATTATTTTAAGGTTCAGATCTCTACAATAGAGATTTGCGAAATTTATTTTACTCACATACTCCCCAAAACAATGTAAAAAACTATGTCCCTAGTTGTATAAAGTTGGCATCTAATTTTGTTTTTATTGAAAGTTCAAATAGCTGCAAAGAAAGTAATTTCTGGCATATTGAGTGTATTAGGCTGGGAGTGGTGGCTCACGCCTGTAATCCCAGCATTTTGGGAGGCCGAGGCTGGTAGATTGCTTGAATCCAGGAGTTTGAGACCAGCCTGGGCAACATGGCAAAATCCTGTCTGTACCAAAAAATACAAAAAATTAGTTGAGTGTGGTGGTGTGTGCCTATAGTCCCTGCTACTTGGGAGCTTGGGAGGCTGAGGTGGGAGGATTAATTGAGCCCAGGAGGTGAAGGTTGAAGTGAGCCGAGATTGTTCCCCTACACACCAGCCTGGCTGACAGTAAGATCCTGTCTCAAAAAAAAAAAAAAAGAAAAAAAAATTGATATTTAAAGTAAAATTATTGTATCAATTTTTAAATGTATCCAATGGAATAGTTACTTGATATTCTGTTATAATTAACAGATATTCTCTTATAATTAACAAGTTATTTAACAGGTGGAAATTTTATATCTTCCTTTTGTTCTCTTTGAATTTGTATTTTCATTATACTTCCCTCACAGAATTATAGGATGATATAATTTTTTTTCTGGAAAGCATATTATTAATTACCCTATTATTTTTTTTTGGCCACAAAAATATATATACAGATTTAAGTTAACTGTTTAATTACTTGTGATCCTAAGACTTTAAGTATTAAATTTCTTTTGGGTTGAGTGATCATTACAAGTATTATTAATGCATAATTTTCCAAAACAACAAAAATATATTATAAATTTAATATGTAATTATTAAATTTAAAAAGTAGCCAGGTACAGTGGCTTATGCCTGTAATCTCAGCACTTTGGGAGGCCGAGGCAGGAAGATAACTTGAGTCCAGGAATTTGAGACCCTATCTCTGCAAAAAATATGATGAAACCTTGTCTCTGCAAAAAATACAAAAATTAGCTGGGTGTGGTGGCATGCACCTGTTGTCCCAGCTACTTGGGAGACTGAGGTGGGAGGATCATCTGAGCCTGGGAGGTGGAGTGAACTGTGATTATGCCACTGCACGCCAGCCTGGGTGGTGGCATGAGACTCTGCCTCAATAAAATAAAATAATAAGTAAAAATTTTATTGAAAATTCACAATTCGTAGATGAACAGGCTGTTTTAGTACATTTCGTATGGCTATAACAGAGTACCTGAGACTGGGTAATTTATAAAGAAAAGAGGTTTATTTAGCACATAGTCTACAGGCTGGGAAGTTCAAGATTGGAAAGCCATGTCTGGTGGCTTGTGGTGAGGGCCTTGTGCTGTGTCAAAACATGGCAGATAAATGAAAGGGGAACTGGGTATGTGGGAAAAGGGATAGAAGACAAAAGAGGTGGACTCAATTCATAACAACCTGCTCTCACAAGAACTAATAGTCTTATGAGAACTAATGCAGTCTCTCAGGAAAGACATTAACTCATCTAAGTCATCTAACCGGCTTTCAAAAGCACTGCCTCCTAACACTGCCACATGGAAGACCAAGCTTCAGCATGAGTTTTGGTGGGGGATAAACCATATTCAAGCCTTAGCAGTTAATATGTAATTTTTTTGACAAATATTATTTATTTACAGAATAGTACATGATTCAGCATAAATTTCGTTTCCATTTTTCCTTTTTTAGATGTAAATGCTGAGAAAGCTTGCTTGCATAAATGAGGACAAATGGAGTTTTGTTACAGCAATACAATTTATTACTTTCTTTTTGAGTTATATGTCCCACATCACACAGTAACCTGTCACCAAAAATTATTTTTTAATTATCAATCAACTGATGAGCGTACTAGAATTTTTAATTGTATTGAAAGTCAAAAAATAGTAAACCTCCTTATATCCAAAAAAGTGTATTAGTCAGGCATCAGAATCACTCACCTTTGTCAACACCAACACCAATATTTCAATGGTCCCCTTTTCAGTGTCCCAAATGTTTTATATTCTGTAAATGTACTGTGTAGTAAGACTTGAGTTGGTAAATAAGCATACTTTTCTTTTGTAAAATGGAGTAGTTGATTAAGAAAGACGACAGCAAAATCTTTTTTGATACAGGACATTCTAAGGAAGATAGAGTTTGAGCAAATGCACACGTAAAGGGTGAAATTTAAAATTTGTCTCCTTAAAATTATCCAGCCTAGGTACCCTCTTAAGGTTTTGTGTCCCCCTAGGTGTATGTGTGTTTGTGTTTATGTTTAGAAATGCTGGGCTATATTGATTTCACTTATATGAGTCCTTGGACCATTGTATAAGTCAACAGAAAGTGAGGTTTAGGGTAAGGAATTGGTAGGAAAAAGACATAGATAGATAGCTATACAGAGATGATGAACTCCATTTTCAAACTAAACAATTATTAATATATGTCTATTCTATATACTAAGGGAACAACATATTTCAAATAAGCACAGGTCACACTGTCTAAATAATCAGAAAAATGGTTGACTAACTCCATAATGCTGGAATTATAAATAAATCTACAGCAAGCTTCACTGCTCTTTCCTTGATCTCATGAGATTTCTAATCATTTATCTCAGAGGGGTTTCTAGCAAGTCAGGTGATACTTTCCCAGCCCAGGAGCACAAGAGATTGACAGACATCATGTCTTTGTTGTAGCTTCAAGAGATTTGGATAAAAAAGAATGTGATTTCCTTTCAAACACCTACCCCAAGGGCTCAGGTAACTCCAAAGTCCTGCAAGCATTAGTAAAAAAAATTAGAAGGAATAGAAAAAGTTATTTGAAAAAGAAAACCACTTACAATGAGTGGGCCCCGGTTGTTTTCCCGGTATTTGTTCTGGAAGAAAATGTAAACGACAGTGGCGGCCAAAGAGTAGAGGAAGGCGAAGACAGCGACAGTGACGAAGAACTCTGCTGAAGACGAGGAGTCACCAATCAATGCCAGCTTCTGCCGTTCCTTTCCCTCGCAGGTGGGCACCTCAAACGTCACCTGGTGCAACCTAAATTGCCAGATTTAAGGAGACATTCTTTAAATGCAGTGAAGATGAAAATAGATGACTTGTGTCTACATCTTCTAAAGCAAAATGGGATGTGATCTGGGAGTTTTAGTGCGTGCCTATGTAACATATTCATTAAGAAATTTACAGGCATTATAGCTAGAAATGTGGAAATCAATATTGCAGCTAATCATCATTTAACCTTAGGTAGAGGGGAGGAGGGAAGAGGAAAGGGAACCTGAAATCGTGATAAATTAGACTACGGCATCCCCCTGCTGAAATTCTTCAGTGCTTCCTCTGTTTAACAGGGCTCACTAGGCCTTACCTTGGTGCCCCTAACTGTATCTCCAGCCTCCACCCCTGCTGCTCTGTCCTCTATCACCCTGTTTCAACTACATTGGCCTGCTTTCTGTTTCTCAGTTATGACAAACATGGTCCTGTCTCCAGGTCTTGTTGTTGACTGTTCTCTTTTCTTAAATCACTCTGCCCCCTGACATTTCCCATGGCTGCCTCCTTGGCATTCAGGCATCAGCTCA